AAAAAACAGAACTAAAGTCACCATTGCTGTAGCTTTCAATAACAGAAGTGCCTTTATCTTTATTTTACAAAGAAATGGGATTCATCAAAGGATTAACCTTCAAATCTTGAAAACATTTTAATAAATATTTGTATCATTCTAATCATCTTTAGGTCTTTATGTTTTGGAATTTGAGAGAAAAACATTAAGAATCAGGACAGGAAAAAGAATTAGGTTCGACTGGAATTTATGCTATTTTGCCAAATATGCTCAATCTAAATCAGATTTATTAACCTCGCTCAGCCTTTATTGGCATTCCAAGTGAGTACCTTGCAAACATCACAGACTCTATACACCTGACCCCACAGTGCCTCCCCAATGTCCACTCAACATGCTCTTACCTCCTGCCACCTGCCACAGCAGAATGGTGTGAATCCAAGAAATGTGTGTTTTCTCATCTTGGCCAGTAAAGCCTTTCTTTTCCTCCTCAGTCCATCCATCTCAGTCCCTTTAAGGACTGCCCAGCTGTCAGCTTCCCCATGAAGGTTTCACATGACCTCAAAGCCAGAATACATCATTCCCTCCACTACATTCACCTATCACTTTGCTTAGAATTCCTAGATGAAAGTTCCGCAATCTGCCCTGAACTCTAGCCAGTGATTGATATGTTTGTCTCTCCAATTCTGTGAAAATCTCATAAGGGTTTGCAGAGTAGATGTAATTATGTTGCACTGGGACTTTAGAACAGTAATAATAATAGCAAACCAAAGTTGCTAATGTGGAGCTGTCATTAAAGAACAAGGTAACTCTCAAATGAGGACTTAAAATAAATGTTTAATAAAACAAAATAATTTCAAATAATAAATTCATTAGAAACTGTATGTTCTCACTAAGTTCTATAATTTGTAGGTGGCCAATATGAGAATCTATACGTGTTAAATACGTCACAGGTAGAAGCCACTTTATGCTGATATAAAAGTCATAAGAATTCAAAAGAAAGCATAATAAAAAGCATACATAAGAGCTTCAAGGCTTAAATTAGGGGTCGCTTATGATTTAGTTTACATCAAACTGTATGTGTGCATGAAATTTAATTCTTGATAAAACAGGAAAATATAGCATGCTTGAAAGTATAAAAGAATATTATTGTCATAATTTACTATTATTATCTAATGTGTTTTCATGTTATTTATTGTGATTATATATAATTAATATATTAAATGATTTACGAAGTAGGTAAACACTACCAGTACAACATACAAGCTAGACAGATAGACCAAGTATCCTATACACACACACACCCTGCATGTGTGGTTATCACCGTGGTCTTCCTCACCCTGCTCTCAGTCTGATCTTGATCTTCATTTACCTGTACAAGAACAAAGGCAGCTACGTCACCTACGAACCAGCAGAAGGCGAGCCCAGCGCCATCCTCCAAATGGAGAGTGACTCAGCCAAGGGCAGGGACAAGGAGGAGTATTTCATCTGATGATTCCCGCCCCGAGGAGCTCATTCAGGCTCCAGTGCTAACACACTATTTATTAGGTGAAACTTTTATCTGAAGCCAGTGAGAAGCATCGACTGATACGAGCAAACCTGAGCTCCTTCTAGGACACAGGCCTAAATGCCAACATGACTGATGCCAGGGACCCAGGGAAAGCTATTTATGGGGTCTCTAACCAGGCCTTTGTAATATAGCTGGTTCCTGTGGCTGCCCAACGAGGTGGAGCGACACCAGGCCACCATGAGTTATGTGCCCGGTCATCTTCAGTTTTCAAAGTCGAAGCAAAGGAGAGTTAGGCCCACTGGCCGCTGTTTTTTGTTTTTACTGGAAGCTCAGGTGGCACATGACAGTTCATAAAATGGCTTCAGAGGTATGGGCTGGGGTTGGTGGCGGGGGGGGGGGGAGACAAAAAATAAACTGGGGTGGGAAAGAAAACAACCAGGAGGAGGTAAGAGCTGGCTGGTTCCTTCTCAGCCTGATTTAGGGGAGGGAGCTGGTGCCTCTGAACAATAGGATGGATCCCTTCCTTCACCCCTTGGTAGGGGAGAGAGGAAAAGCAAAAGGCTGTTGCTTGGCCCTCCTGAGTCTCAAGGAAAAGGGGAAAGCCGGTGTTCTGATGTCATGAATTCTGGGAAGGGGAAGGGGGTGCTGGGTCGGGTAGGAGGCAGCTGGAAAAACTGGCAGATAACCAGATGGTAGCTCTGGGGGGGTCCTTCATGTTGGAGTCACTCCAGTATGGTGGGGGGGACATCCCCACTGTTGATGGGGGCCGAGGACTTCTTCTTTTTTTTTTACTTAAAATGTTATCCTTTAATTAGCAAATTTGGGGGGTAGGGGAGAAGCCACATTAGGACTCAAAGGCAGAGACCCAAAATCAGCTGGCTTTTCCCTGTCAGGCTGGAGCAGAATTTCAACCAGACCATATACATTCCAGCTCTGGAGACAACATCTACTCTTCAAATCCTGATTCCAGGTACGTTGGTGGCAAACTGGCTTCACTTCATCCAAGGACCTAGCTGTAGGGCTTTCATGGCATCCTCAAGTTTGAGCATCCCTCGTTCCTGTCGCTGGCGGTGCCACTCGGTCATGGACTGGAGCATCCACTTGGCCCTGAGCTTGTACAAGTAAGAGCCATAAACCAAGACCTTGGTGAGGCCCGAGGATTCCAGAACCTTTAGCTCAAGCATGACTTTGCTCACTTGCTCGATGTACGGGATTCGAGATCCAGCTAGGCCAAACATAGCTTCCAAGAGCTGCATCTGGGCCTGCAACACATCGGGGTCTTTCAAGTCTTCTGGAACTTTCACCCATGGTGGAATAAATGGGCATTAAATGGGGTGCAAAAATAGACACACCACTTTTTGATGTGGAAGTGGCACACATACTCTCATACTACAGAGGGAATTTAGTCCAAGATATTTTTGTGACCTTCTTTGGAAATACAACCTGCTATCACATGAAAACTTAGGGACAATGAATACCCAGGGGCCTTCTCTTTGGAGCTCCTCTGTTTTGTTTTTATCACAGAAAAGGCCCTTATAAAGTTTGGTGTGTGTCTATCAACAATCCTGCCCTGTCTGTCGTAGCATGGAAAGACTTCAAGGCTAATTAAATATGTTTTTACATTATTATATATGAGTAGATGTGTGTGTCTCTATGTGCGTACACATCTGTACATATAAAAGATAGCTCCAAGATTACAAGTGCTTGGTACAATGTGAAATCCTGCCCTTCACTTGCAAAGATGATGCCATCGTTCCCCAACTGCCAGAGAGCAAGGTTTTCGGTTTTTCTAATGGTAGTGATGGCAAGGGTGACTCATCTATACTCTGCACACCCAGAAGTCATCTGACTCATAGCACACTTTTGAGATGACTAGTTAGGGTTAGAAGCACAACTCTTTATTAACAAAACAGTAGAAATCTAACTGACTTCTAGAGGCTTCTCATTAGCCACATCTAACTCAGCTAACTACCAAGGAGAGGCAAAGTCAGTTCCCTTCAGTGAACAATAACTAATGAAGGGAACTTCTAAAGTAAAGCCCTTAATCCCTAGCACATTGCCTGGCATGAGACAGGTATTCAATAATTGTTTATTAAACAGAGGATAGGCCTGTAAGTTTTAGCATCTTGCCTGGTGAGAGAAGATAGCCATAGCTCACCTTGAAGAAAGATTTGAAGGAAGAAAGTCACAAGGGAAAGTAGAATGTTTGGAATCCATCATCCCACAACTTCCACAGAGTCAGCTCATCTCTACTTCCTGCTGAGTGACCACCTCTGTCTCCAGCTGGACGAATTTAAAGAGCCTGGGGCCAGTAGTAAGGAAACTCAGCTTGGAGTGACCCTGGTAACTATTTTTCTTTGCTCATTCTCTCTAGTTGCAGTAAGGGGGTTTCTACTTTGTCCTTGTAACAAGTTCTTCACAGCAGGTAGAGCATGAGAGTGTTTCACGATCCCTTGCTCCAGGCCCTAGCCTCAATAGTCCTCCAGGTTCCCCATTCTTCCAAGTAGACAGTCAAACATTGTTTCCAGGCACCACAGTGACCTTCAGACCCATTAACATATTCACTGATAGTTTTTCCAAAGGTGATGACGTGGATGGCAGACCAATTGTGGGGACAAAGAGAGACTGGTTAATACTCCCTCAATCTGTCCCCAATCATCTCATCGACTCTTGAATATAGATAATTACTGTTTTCTCTATCCTATGATAAGATGAGTTTGGGTGGGTACCTGGGTGGCTCAATTGGTTAAGCGTCTGTGTGTGGCTCAGGTCATGATCCCAGGGTCCTGCGATGGATCCCCGCATCAGGCTCCCTGCTCAGTGAGGAGTCTACTTCTCCCTCTCTGTCTGTCCCCCCACCCACCCCCCAGTCATGCACTCTCTTTCTTGTGCTCTGTCTCTCAAATAAATAAATACAACATTTAAAAAATAATTTTAAAAAATAGAATAAAAGTAAATAAACAAAAAGATGAGTTTGGGATAATTTGACGGGAGTTAAGTGTGAAATTGAAGGTCCAAGCTGAACCCTTGAGAGATTTAAAGACTGAATAAGCACCTGCTACATGTCAGGCACAGTGCCAAGTACGGATGACACAAACTTGAATAAGTTTCCTGCTATCTGACCTAGATACAAAGGCAAGTAACCGTGAGAGTGAAGAATGTTGTAATGAAAGCCTTTGTAGACACTGAGCATCCGCTGGGCAGAGGACATGACAAAGGAGAGATGACAAGCAAATGAGAATTAAGAACGTCTACTTGACTGAAAGAGAATCTCTACAGCAGTTAATACATATTTTAGGATTTTGATATTTGTGCAAGAGCTTCATGGATTCAGTAGTCCCCATAATTCATGAAGCAGCTAGAGGTGGCAAATAATATGCCTCAAAGAGCCCCATGATCCAGAGGGAAATAAGGCCAAGTGAAGCCACACAGCTCAGTGGCACCATTTGGGATGGGATTTCGGTCTATCAGTCACTTCACAGTGTTTTGTGCTTCTTTCATGTGGACTGTGGACATGCCATCCAGACTGAGGAAGATCCAGAAACCTCAGGGGCACGTGAGGCATGGCCCCAGCCGCATGGGCAAGCGCCGGAAGCACCCAGGAGGCCAGGGTAATGCTGGTGGAGTGCATGATCCAACAGGATCAACTCTGACAAATAACACTGAGGTTACTGGGGAAAGTTGGTTTGAGGCGCTACTTAACGAGGTACCAGAGCTTCTGGCCAGCTGTCAACCTTGATAAGCTGTGGACCTTGTCCCTTAGCAGACACAGATAAATGCTGCCAGAAACAAGGCTGGAGCTGCTCCTATGATTGATGTGCTGCGATCTGGCTCTACAAAGTTTTGGGAAAGGGAAAGTTTCCAGAACAGCCTGTCATTGTGAAAGCCAAATTTTCAGTACAAGAGCTGAGGAGAAGATGGGGGGGTGGGTGGGTTGGGGGTGCAGGGGGAAGGGGCTGCATCTTGGTAGCTTCAGGGCATGTGGAGGGAGGTTTATTAAATGGTAACAGGTGCTTTTCAAAAAGCGAACAAAACAAAACACAACACAACAACAACAGTGCTTTGTGCCTTCCCAAAATCTTTAAAGGGAGCCAACTCCTTTTCCAGATGAAATGGGGAGAAAGGAAATGGGGGAAAAAGGGGTCTCATAGATAGAAATATACAGCATAGCTTGTACCACTATGTTTTACAAAAAAAAAAAAAAGTTTCCGTAAAGAAGCACTGAACAAAAGATGACAGTAAAATATTTACCTTAAAAATATTTATTTTTAAAAATAAAGGAATGGGGCACGTGGGTGGCTCAGTCAGTTAAGCATCTGCCTTCGGCTCAGGTCATGCATAACCTCAGGGCTAGATCCTGGGATCCAGCCCCACTTCTGGGCTGCCTGTTCAGCAGGGAACCTGCTTCTCCCTCTCCTCCCACTCCTGCTCACTCTCACTATCTCTCTCTCTCTCTCTCTCTCTCTCTCTCTCTCTCAAATAAATAAATAAAATTTAAAAAATAAATAAATAAGAATAAAGGGGAAAAAACAAGCAATAATTAGAAGAAAATTGAAGGACTTACGGACTTATGAAAATGATTTTAATCCTTTTATGACCATTCTTTTAACAATTATGTTTTGAGAAGTTTCTTTTCTTAATTGAATAAATTTAAGGGGCTTATAATAAGATGCATACCTTCCTTCTACTTTAATTGTTATTTAAGGCACGTTACAATGTTAACTTAATTATGTAATTAAAATCTTAGTTTTTCCATTACCCTTTGGTTTTCCTAGCACATGAGCATTTTTTAAATCGTCTGCATACGAAATCAATAAGGAATTTTGATAAGACAAACTCTGTGCCCCATAAAATATTGTTCTCAATGAGAATTTCAAATGTTTGTTGTTTAAAAAATGCCCAATTTTTTAAATTAACATTATTGAAGTAATAAATGCTGGCAGGAATAGAACATCAGATAGTTATCAATTTATCACTCAGAAAAGTAAAATATCCAAAGGCTAGAAAAGTTTTATATGGAGCATTATTATAGGAATATAAGAATATTTCCTGTAACTTTTCAGATTTGTGCATTGTATTTTGTTATGTTTAGCTGAGCTATTTTTATGCAATCTTTTGACACACCAAGTATCATTCCCATTTAAAAGCATTAAAGCATAAAAACATATTTCATTTGCCTTGAAGTTTTTCAATAATAGAATAGACAGGCCAGAATTATTGATTTCTCTTCCCTAGAACCTTACTTTATAAGGATTTGTGTGTGTGTGTGTGTGTGTGTGTGTGTGTGTGATAAAAACAGCAGAAGAGCTTCAAAGAGAAGCTTCTTTATAGCCCCTATGTTTCATTGCTATGGCAGGTCATACTTCCCAAAGATGGCAAGAAAAATATCTCTCAGCTTATATTCCTTCTGTAATATGACACTTCCACTTCCACATCAAAACACACCATGTTTTTTTTTTTGTACCACATTTGAGCGAGGTGGGCCCTCTGCCTACTGGAACCAACAGAATATGGCAGGTGCAACTTTGAGCCGGTTGTTGGTAGATCCCAGCCCAAACCTGGCAGTTCCCTGGTTTCTGTCTCTTGAAAGACTTCCATAGGAAGTGCTACTACTCTGAGACCACCCTGCGATAAGAAGCCAAGCCACCGGGACACCTGGGTGGCTCAGTGGTTGAGCATCTGCCTTTGGCTCCGGGTGTGAGACTGGGATCCGGGATTGAGTCTCACATTGGGCTCCTTGCAGGGAGCCTACTTCTCCCTCTGCCTGTGTCTCTGCCTCTCTCTCTCTCCCTGTGTCACCCATGAATAAATAAATAAAATCTTTTTTAAAAAAAATTTAAAAGCATTAAAGCATAAAACATATTTCGTTTGCCTTGAAGTTTTTCAATAATAGAATAGACAGGCCAGAATTATTGATTTCTCTTTAAATCTTTTTAAAAAATTTTAAGAAGCCAAGCCACATGGAGAAAGAAAAGAAGGCCAAGAAGTAAGAAATGAAGAAGTCATCCTAGATGACCAGTTTGGTTGTATCTCCAGACGACTCCAACCCCAGCCACTATCTGATCACAAATACATGAGAAATCCAAGTTAAAAACTGCCCAGATGATCCTGGGGCCACCTACAGAACCAAGACAAAACAATAACTTGTTGTTTTACCCACTAAGGTTTTGGGGAGTTTGATGTATCATGGTAGATTCCTGGAACAATCAGCTATTGCTCTGTCTTATAAGAACATTTTTTCTTCCACGGTCTGCAATATCAGACCCCAGTCTTGCCTTTCTACTTTCTCCTCTTTCTACTGTCTCCTTACTTTTCCTCTGTGGGAGGTTATTTATATAACACGTATTCAGTTACTCTATTTAGGAAATGTAGCGATGTGTGAAAAAAATTTTGGAGTTAGCATTCTACACAGTATCTGCAATACTGGCTTTGATAATAACAATAACTATGCTTTAAAAATAATTCCTACATTTAATGGGGCACTTTCGTGTGCTAGATGTTCTTTTGGGCATCTTTGAACACACAAACATATTCAATACTCACAACAATCTTGTGAAAGAAATTCTTGAGGCAAAGTAACCCAGACAAAGTCACAAAATTTGTTGTGGGTGGAGCCAAGATTTTAGAATATCTCTTTACAATTTCAAACTCCAGGCTCTGAACCACACTTCACTGTAGTGCCTTCAAATCTTTATATTTTACAATGAAGTTCTTAAATGATTTTTTTCAGATGGTATATCCCTAAATAAGATGCTGACATTTTTTGTTGAGAGCAACATTATGTTGTGCCAGCTTAAATATAACTTACCTATGTAATCTTTTATTTTACATATTTGTTTGACTTCACCTTCTTCAGAACAGCCTTGAGAAAGCCATTTCATGTGGATTAGGAGGCATTTTATACCTGCTTAAGTTATGAGGACTGGTGTCTGACTGTGGGAGAAAGAGGGCAACGTTGGCTTTCACATACATTCTTTTGTTTGATTCTCTTTACACCTCTATGAGGAAAACATTAATATGGCACCTATTTCATAGACTAGAAAAACTGCACTTCAGAACATTAAAGGGCTCTGCCAAAGTCACTCAGAAAGTGATCTGATCCTAAAATCATACTTTTCCACCCATACCACTGCTATGACCCAGAAGTACATAGTTAATCCATTATCTCCTTTAGGACATTGATTTACACAGAGATCATGCTGTTACAATTGTCTTTTCTAATTTGATTTCCAATATTGCCTTGATTCCACTCTCGGTTCAGCATCAGTCCTGTCTACACCCTCTCTTTCTCTTAGACCCTGGTGTATAAGGATGCTAGAGTATTTTTATAATATTATCCCTAACTCTGATGAACCAAGAAATTACCAGATTACTTTATGCTACATTACAATAGGTAATGCTGAAGTGTTATACACCAAAAAAGGAGTTTGCAAAGATCATAAATTAATGCCAAACTACTCCACGATTCACAAGCTGTTAAAATAGAAGTTTGGTGCTATGGGTCATACTGTTCTCAGTGGGAAATATTAATTGATTCCTGTACATCTTCTCTTTGTGAAAGCAGATTATCTTGATCTATTTTTGAGCAAGATGCACATTACCTTCTAATTTTGCTATTTCTATTTCCCAGCTCTTACTGTGAGTTTTCATGTAAATTTGAGTCCCACATTTATAAGAAATGTACAATGAAACTGAGAATCTATTCTGGAACATAATCAATTGCTTTTCTAACATTGTACACATGCTACCCTTTTCAGCAGGAAATGGTAAGAAATATGACTCAAAATTTCAAAAACTCTATTACTGAAAAAAAGAAAAAAGAAACTTAAACCAAAACCAAAGTTAAAATTGAAATGAAAGCACATGAACTGTTCATAAGTGGTAACTGTTCTTACTTTTTTAAAATAATTCAAGACTATAGCAAAGGATTACAATGCAATTTGGATGACCAATATTTTTAATAATTGATTTGGTATTAAGTCGGGTAATTATTTAAAAGATATCCTCAGAAAATTAAAAAGATTCCTCTGATCTAATATAAAATATCTTATTTTTGAGTAGGGAAAGGATTGTAAGTACTTAGGAAATAAAAGTTCCTATGAAGTTTAAATGGAGCTTCTGCATTCCCAAGGGACCCATAATTCTTCCATGTGCCCAAATCCTGTTCCTCAGCGCTAATAAAGAGGAACAAGAGACCACTTTTATTTTCCAGTCTCAATTTCCCAATAAGCTGCCATTTCAACTACTGCTCATGTAAATACAAGTAAGGTTAGCAAGTTTCCAGAAACTCTCACTGGAACACACCAACTAAATTTGGTCAAGAGATTCAGAATTACAAGGTCATCAGTAATACTTGGAGAAATAGCACTGAGTCTTCATTTTGTAGCATTTTATGAAAGAAGAAAATAGAAACAATGTTGTCCAAAAATTGTCAGTGTTACTATATGCAAGTCTATAGGAGAACATCTATTCAAAAGATATCAGAAGCTATGGTCATCTGAGTAAACAAGTGAGCTGCTTTATGATTGGCCAACTTGAAGATGCAGTCATGCATCATTTAAAAACTGATGGTAGGGGCCACTGGGTGGCTCGGTCAGTTAAGCATCCCACTCTTGGTTTTGGCTCAGGTCATGATCTCAGGATCCTGGGATCTAGCTGAGAGTCTGGTTCCCCACTCAGCATGGAGTTTGCTTGAAATTCTCTCCTTCTCCCTCTGCTTCTCCCCCCACCCCATCACAGGCTTGCTCATGCTCTCTCTCTCCCTCTCTCTAAAATAAATAAATAAATAAAATCTTTAAATAAATAAGCAAATAGAGGCACCTGGGTGGCTCAGTGGTTGAGCATCTGCTTTTGGCTCAGGTCATGATCCTGGGGTCCTGGGAT